CCAAATCCCAAATACTAGTAATTTGGGATTTTGGTGTCCCAAATCCCAAATGATTTGGAATTTGGGCAACACGTATAGATCATACTTAGCACGTATTTCATTTATAGTCAGCAATTTTACTAACTTTTTTAATGGAAGATCTTTTCCGTATTCTTCTGCTACCAGCTGGTTTTTGGGATTTAATCCTGCAATGAAAAAATTCTTGAGACGTTCTTCCTTTATAGAAAGATTAGCTTGTGTTGATACTGGAATTTTTTTATCAGTCATGTTTGCTTCACAGTTATAAGGTTGTTATATCCCAATGAGAAAAAAAATGTGTAATTTATTATAAATGCTTAACGTGTTTTATCAACATCCAAAATTCTATCAATCGTTCACTGATCACTCGTTACATTAATCTCTAGGCTTGTTCGATCAATGCTGGTATATCATCTCATCCTTCTATTTCAGTTAAATCCCAATCTTCTATACTATCCCAGGGGATTTCGTTATTTTTTATTTGCTCTATATTAAATTTAACAATCTCCTTTTTTGATTTACTTATCATTCCATTAACAAGCATATACTTTTCAATCTCTACCTGTTTTTTAGCACTCTCAAGTAACTTTTCTTGATATTTAAGCTCCAAACCACATACCATATATCCTTGAAGTTCTTCATCATCTGAATATTGATTTAACACTTTCTTTATTCTTTCATCTTTTTCAAGTTCTAATTTATGGCCTTTTAACACTTGTATCTCCCATCTTTTTTGGAGTTCGTACTGAATTTCTTTGTATCAAGTGTGATTTATCCAACAGAATTTGTTGAGATCTTCCAATGAAAGTTTTTGAACGATTTCAGCTATAGTATCTGGAATAATAAGTAGATTATATGTATGCATATTGTATATCTCAAACGTGTGGATTTTATTAAGTTAGACTTTTTATTTAAATGTTATATTATTCATTTTGATAATACAATTCTTATTGGTAATTAATATGTAGTTTAGTATTAGTCGATCGCTTTTTGTTACTTTCCATTTTTGAATGATATGTATTATATAGTCAAAAAATCTTTATCTTTGTTTAATCAATTAAACTAGTCGAAAAAATTAAATATGGTAGATGAGTAGGCTGACTTGTTTTTCCTATATTAGGTTAATATAATTTGTTGAGTCAATATATTGAATATTTATTATTCATGAAAAAAATCTTAATAATTGATCTAGCTCACTTGGTGAAATAACTAGATTCATCTGATTACTGGTATTGTGGTTTAAGTTTGAACATCATTGCTCTTTTTTCAGCTTCTTTAGGAAATATTCTGGATGAAACCATACACTATTACAGAATGAAAATATAATGATAAAATAATATTAAAAACACCTGCAATAATTTATAATAATCCTTAAAATAACATTTAGAATTTAATATTAGTTCATGTAACAAATAGTAACAATTTAATAATTACTTTTAGTAAATA